TGGGGTCTGGGTCTCTGAACGACTCTTCGGGAATGAGGACTGAGGTTGGGAGGATGATGGTAAGGACCTGAGGGCACACCCACTCCGTGCCCAGAGGCACGGTGGCGGATCTACAGAACCATGGGAATATGATGAGCATGGTTCTGACGGATCGCATCGCATTTCTGAGCTCCAATGGGGGAGCCGCCTGGGGGTATTTCAATTTGTTTTTGGTTGGAATTGTGGGGGGTGGCAGTGACTCGGGTAAGCGGTCGGTCGATTGGGCGAGGTGGCAAATATTACCTGGGAGCAGCGAGGACCCCATCCCCGAACGGGAAAATGAGGTTCTGGGTTTGTCGGAGGTGAGGGGGTGAGATCGAAGTGGAACGGAGAGCCCCCCACCGGGAAATCGGTTTCGGTTTCGTGTTCGTGTCGCGCGTGCGGGCGAGGCGAAGCTGCGTGGGCGGGCGAGAGGAATTCACTCTGCTGTCGCTAGGGGTCCGCCAACACAAATGTTTCCCCCCCCCCCCGGTGTTGTCAAGCGGTGGCCCGCATTGTCCCGTCGGTTGCCCGCCGGTTGCTCGTCATGGTTGCTCATCATGGTTGCCCATCATGGTTGCTCATCATTGTCCCGCCGGTTGCTCATCATGGTTGCTCATCATGGTTGCTCATCATTGTCCCGCCGGTTGCTCATCATGGTTGCTCATTCTGGTTGCTCATCATGGTTGCTCATCATGTGAGATCGATAGTGGGATCGATAGTGAGATCGATTGTGAGACCGATTGTGAGATCGATAGTTAGATCGATTGTGAGATCGATAGTGAGACCGATTATGAGATCGATTGAAAGATCGATCGTGAGACCGATTGTAATATCGATTGTGAGATCGATTGTGATATCGATCTTCAGTTCCATGGTGAGACCGAATGTGAGATCGAATGTGAGATCGATAGTGACATCGATAGTGAGATCGATTGTGGGGTCGATGGTAAGATCGATTGTGAGATCGATAGTGAGATCGATAGTGAGATCGAATGTGAGATCGATAGTGCGGTCGATAGTGAGATCGATTATGAGACCGACTGTGGGATCGATGGTGAGATCGACAGTGAGATCGATAGTGAGGCCGAATGTGAGACCGAGTGTGCGATCGATTGTGAGATCGATAGTGAAACGGAATGTGAGATCGATAGTGAGACCGAATGTGAGATCGATCTCACGATCGATCTCACTATCGATCTCACTATCGATCTCACCATCGATCTCACAGTCGATCTCACTATCGATCTCACGACAGGACACCGACGGGACACCGACGGGACACCGACGGGAGACCGACGGGTCACTATCGATAGTGGGATCGATAGTGAGATCTATTGTGAGATCGATTGTGAGATCGATAGTTAGATCGATTGTGAGATCGATGATGAGTCCGATTATGAGATCGATTGAAAGATCGATCGTGAAACCGATTGTGAGATCGATTGTGGGATCGATTGTGATATCGATCGTCAGTTCCATAGTGAGACCGAGTGTGATATCGATTGTGAGATTGATAGTGAGATCGATTGTGGGATCGATGGTAAGATCGATTGTGAAATCGATAGTGAGATCGATAGTGAGATTGATTGTGGGGTCAATGGTAAGATCGATTGTGGGATCGATAGTGAGATCGATAGTGAGATCGATTGTGCGGTCGATTGTGAGATCGATAGTGAGATCGATAGTGAGATCGATAGTGAGATCGATAGTGCGGTCGATAGTGAGATCGATAGTGAGACCGAATGTGGGATCGATGGTGAGATCGACAGTGAGATCGGTAGCGAGGCCGAATGTGAGACCGAGTGTGCGATCGATTGTGAGATCGATAGTGAAACGGAATGTGAGATCGATTGTGAGACCGATTGTGAGATCGATAGTTAGATCGATTGTGAGATCGATAGTGAGACCGATTATGAGATCGATTGAAAGATCGATCGTGAGACCGATTGTAATATCGATTGTGAGATCGATTGTGATATCGATCTTCAGTTCCATGGTGAGACCGAATGTGAGATCGAATGTGAGATCGATAGTGACATCGATAGTGAGATCGATTGTGGGGTCGATGGTAAGATCGATTGTGAGATCGATAGTGAGATCGATAGTGAGATCGAATGTGAGATCGATAGTGCGGTCGATAGTGAGATCGATTATGAGACCGACTGTGGGATCGATGGTGAGATCGACAGTGAGATCGATAGTGAGGCCGAATGCGAGACCGAGTGTGCGATCGATTGTGAGATCGATAGTGAAACGGAATGTGAGATCGATAGTGAGACCGAATGTGAGATCGATCTCACGATCGATCTCACTATCGATCTCACTATCGATCTCACCATCGATCTCACAGTCGATCTCACTATCGATCTCACGACAGGACACCGACGGGACACCGACGGGACACCGACGGGAGACCGACGGGTCACTATCGATAGTGGGATCGATAGTGAGATCTATTGTGAGATCGATTGTGAGATCGATAGTTAGATCGATTGTGAGATCGATGATGAGTCCGATTATGAGATCGATTGAAAGATCGATCGTGAAACCGATTGTGAGATCGATTGTGGGATCGATTGTGATATCGATCGTCAGTTCCATAGTGAGACCGAGTGTGAGATCGATTGTGAGATTGATAGTGAGATCGATTGTGGGATCGATGGTAAGATCGATTGTGAAATCGATAGTGAGATCGATAGTGAGATTGATTGTGGGGTCAATGGTAAGATCGATTGTGGGATCGATAGTGAGATCGATAGTGAGATCGATTGTGCGGTCGATTGTGAGATCGATAGTGAGATCGATAGTGAGATCGATAGTGAGATCGATAGTGCGGTCGATAGTGAGATCGATAGTGAGACCGAATGTGGGATCGATGGTGAGATCGACAGTGAGATCGGTAGCGAGGCCGAATGTGAGACCGAGTGTGCGATCGATTGTGAGATCGATAGTGAAACGGAATGTGAGATCGATAGTGAGACCGAATGTGAGATCGATCTCACGATCGATCCCACTATCGATCTCGCTATCGATCTCACGATCGGTCTCAATATCGATCTCACCATCGGTCTCACAGTCGATCTCACTATCGATCGCACGACAGGACACCGACGGGACACCGACGGGGTAACGGCGGGCCACCGACGGGACAATGCGGGCCACCGCTTGACAATGGGGGGGGGGAAACATTTCTGTTGGCGGACCCCCAGCGACAGCAGAGTAGATTCCTCTCGCCCGCCCACGCAGCTTCGCCTCGCCCGCACGCACGACACGAACACGAAACCGACACCGATTTTCCGGTGGGGGAAGGTCGATAGTGAGACCGAATGTGAGATCGATTGTGAGATCGATTGTGATATCGATTGAGATCGATAGTGAGACCGAATGTGAGATCGATATTGAGATCGATAGTGAGATATAGTGTGAGATCCATCGTCTGATAGTGGGATCGATAGTGAGATCGATGGTGAGATCGATAGTGAGATCGATTGTGAGACCGAATGTGAGACCGAATGTTGGATCGATAGTGAGATCGATAGTGAGATCGATCGTGAGATCGATCGTGAAATTGATAGTGCCACCGAAAGTGAGATCGATTGTGAGATCGAATGTGAGATCGATAGTGGGATCGATAGTGAGATCGATTGTTAGATCGATTGTGAGATCGATAGTTAGATCGATTGTGAGATCGATAGTGAGACCGATTATGAGATCGATTGAAAGATCGATAGTGAGACCGATTGTGAGATCGATTGTGAGATTGATTGTGATATCGATCGTCAGTGCCATAGTGAGACCGAATATGAGATCGATAGTGAGATCGATAGTGATATCGATCGTGAGATCGATTGTGGGGTCGATGGTAAGATCGATTGCGAAATCGAATGTGGGATCGATAGTGAGATCGATTGTGCGGTCGATAGTGAGATCGATAGTGAGACCGAATGTGGGATCGATGGTGATATCGATAGTGAGATCGATATGGAGACCGAATGTGAGACCGAGTGTGCGATCGATTGTGAGATCGATAGTGAAACGGAATGTGATATCGATACTGATAGTGATATCGATAGTAAGATCGACTGAATCATATCGATAATGAGATCGATAGTGAGACCGATTGTGACATCGATAGTGAGATCGATAGTGAGATCGATCGAGTGATATCGATAGTGAGATCGGTAGTGGGATCGATCGCGAGATGTATTGAGTGACGCGTTGGTTCCTCCTCCCCCCTCACCTCCTGATCACCCGAAGGGTGGTCGTACAGGTAGCTGCCGTGGACCGATCGTTTCGCTTGAGATCTCCCTCCAACTCTAGGTTCATGCACGTATGTCCTCATCTCATGTGGTCCCGGTCCTTTTCGCTTGGGACATCGTTGGGATTGTGTTTTCGGCGAAGCCCACACCTGAGGTGGTTCAACCAGTTTCGCCCGAGATCTCCCCTTTCTGGGCTCAGAGGTGTCCTGTCAATGCTGTCGCCGATGGCCCGGTGGACGATTGGTGTCAATTGCCAGATGCACACTCGGGGAGACTGGGACCCTCCTTGTTGCCAGACTCGGGGGAACTGGAACTCTCCTTGTTGCCAGCGGCGCGAAGCACGGCGCCGCCCTCCCTCGCCGCATTCCCCCTCCAAATTACTCCTCCTCGGCCTCCTCCTCCTCCTCCTCCTCCTCCTCCTCCCTCCTCCTCCTCCTCCTCCTCCTCCTCCTCCTCCTCCTCCTCCTCCTCCTCCTCCTCCTCCTCCCCCTCCTCCTCCTTCCCCCGCCAGCCCTCGGAGACGTGCCGGGGGAAGGGAAGGGGCCGGCTCGGGGAGACCAGAACCCTCCCCGTCGCCAGTAGCAAATCTGTCAATCGGGGCCACTCGTCAAACTTGCGAGGGTACTTGGCTGGGCACTGCATGAGGCGAGTTGCCCGACCTCTGCCGATGGGATTTTGGGAGGAAGTGCCTTCACACGCTAGTTACCCAAAGGGGTGGGCGGATTTTCCTTGCCGTAGATGCTGTGTGGCACTTCGTCGGAGGGGAGGCCCGACGTTGCCCCATCAGCCATAGTACTGCTGCTGCAGCGCGCATTGCGCTTGCGGGAACAAAAACATGAAATCATGTCGTCTTGCCGGCGGGTTCGGAAGTCCTGGGGCGTCGCGCCAAGTTCGCGGAAGTGGTCAGTGAGATGCCAGCACCAAGCTTGGCCAGGCCTTCCATGGGCTTCCGCCAGTGGCCCCTGAGTGGCCTGGTCAACTTAGGAGCTTCGATTCCTGGCCGATTTGACTCTTGGATTCCAGTTTTGGTCCGATCCGTCGTGCGCAATTGAGATGTATATCGATCCCATATGAGGACTCGAGTGGTGAACCTCTTGCCTTCAGCGAAAGCCAACGCAAGTAAAACGAGGACGGTGCCGCTGGTGGAAACTCGGCCGAAATTGGCGGAGGAACAGAACCTAAGCGCGCGCAAAGCGCGCGTGGTTCTAGTACATACTATGGATGAATACCAGGTCCCCGGGGGCCCCGCCCACCTCAAAACCATCGGGCCCCCTTTTTTAGTACCCCCGCCCTGGCGCCTCTAAGGGGCCTCCAGACGGCCCAGGAGGCTTCCAGGAGGCTTCCAAGACGGCCCCAGGAAACACCCAAGATGTCCATGAGGGCTCCGAGGCGCCACAATATCGGTCCAAGGCAGTCAATATAGTCCCTAGACGGCCCAAAAAACTTCCAAGACGCCCCAAGAGGCCTCCAAGAGGCTTGTTCAAGAGGGCCACAAGAGGCTAATCATTATGTATATATATACTTTTATTTGTTTCCGCGGGTGTGGGGGGATTTTTCGTGGTTCTCACCTTGGCGGCTTCCCGACGCTCCAAGATAGCCGAAGAGGCCCTCAATATCGCCCAATGACGGCCCAAGAGGCTCCCAAGACGGCCCCAAGACAGCCCGAGAGAGACCCAAGCAACCCAAGAGGCCTCCAAAACGGTCCAAGATAGCCCCAAAACGGCTCTAAGAAGGACCCGAGACAAGGAATCTGAACGGACTTTCCGAGCCTTCGGCCCAAAAAGCCTTTAGGAGACTCCAAGAAGCGCCCCGAAGGCCCCCAAGACGCCGCCAGAAGCCCCCGAAGGGCTCCCAAGATGCACGTCACATGTGCACGACAAACAGATCCCACGGGCCATGCTGGTGCCTTCTCCCCATGTATTGGTCTCGCGGGAAACGCTGCAGGATTCCATGTTCCCTTGGTTCATCGTCAGGCTTCGAGCCTCCATTCGGATACGTTTCCTCGCCGTCTTCGGCCCCGGCTGGGCGCCGTGCCTTGTGGAGGTCCGCGATGCCCCTTCAAGCTGGAGGTCGGGGGTGTCTCGAGCGGGGAGGTGTGGCCACACCACCAGGGGGCATCCCCTGGCTCCTCGCCCTGGTGGTGGTGGTGTCGCTTTTCTTTGCTCCCACCTCGCGTCGGGACAAAAAACACGACGGGAAGCTTTGCGCAAGTTCCAGCCTCCAGGGGGGCCCTGCGGAACCCCAGGGCCGTAAAACACAAGTCGGGATGAACAGTTGGCCCCGGAAGTCGTCCAGATATCCTGGGCCCACGTTGTGAACAAATCCCGGCGTCGAGTGTCTTGGGAGGGGGAGGAGGGGGAGGAGGAAGAGGGAAGAGGAGGAGGAGGACGAGGAGCAGGCGGAGAAGGAGGAAGAAGAGGAGGAAGAGGAGAGGGAGGAAGAGGAGAAGGAGGAGGAGGAGGAGGAGGAGGAGGAGGAGAGGAGGAGGAGGAGGAGGAGGAGGAGGAGGAGGAGGAGGAGGAGGAGGAGGAGGAGGAGGAGGAGGAGGAGGGGAGGGATGAGGGATGAGGGAGGAGGAGGAGGAGATGAGGGGGAGGGTGGAGGATGATGGGGATGAGTGGGAGGAGGAGGATGAGGAAGATGAGGAGGAGGTCGAGGAGGGGAAAACGAAGAGGAGGGGGAGGAGGGGGGGGAGAATATGGAGGAGGATGGGGGTGGAGAGGAGGGGGGAGGAGGAAGGAGGAGGAGGAGAGGAGGACGACGACGACGAGGATAATGGGGGGGGGAGGAGGGGGAGGGAGGAGGAGGAGGAGGAGGAGGAGGAGGAGGAGGAGGAGGAGGAGGATGAAGAGGAGGAGGAGGACGGGGAGGAGGTCGGATTTGTGAGCTAACGCCACATACTTGGACCTGTGCCTGCTCATGCCGTCATCGGAGCTGTTCCGCGGCCACGGCTAGAACGTAAGCGCGCGCGAAGCGCGCGCGTGATTCTAGTATATATATATATGTATATATATATATATGTATGTATATATATATATATTCATACACAATGCCGGAGTGTTGGTTTCCGCGGCCTCACCCCGGACAGAATTACACATTGGGGCCACACCCGGGAACCTCATCCAGCCTCCGCGGCCCGAGCCGCGTCTTCCGCCCCGAGGCTGCTCCAAGATCGCCCACGATGGCTTCCAGACGGCCCAAGAGCTCTCTGAGATCCGAGAGCGCCCCAAGAGCGTTTCAATACTGTCATGATAGCCCCATGATGGCCCCAGAGAACCCCAGAGGCCCTAAGAGTTCCTGCGAGGATCGCCAAGAGGGCCCCCACATTCTAGAATCGATGATGATCCGTAAGGGCTTCGCCCCCTGCCGCCGGCCCACTGTCTATCACAATGGGATACATCACAGCTATATTGGGATGTTTGGGCGCCGTCTTGACGTCACTCGGGAGCGTCATGCTAGGGCGGCTGGCGATGAGCAAAACAGATTTAGATGTTGAAGTTGTTGTTGAAAGCTTTGTTGCCTTCTTGGCATTTTCCTCCAGCTGTTCACTGGAAGCGCTCTGGGAACGGCTGTGGATTGCTTCAGGCAATCTCTGGGGAGGTTATTTTTTCTGCTCTGGAGAAGGAGTGGCGCCTTTGGGCAGTTTCCGCGAGGTGGATTCGTAGCGTGGGGGGTGCGCGAACGTGGCGTAATTTACAAGGGATCGTGGCCTGGGGGGCGCGACAGCGGCGTAATTTACGAGGGATCGTTGCCTCGGGGGCGCGAATTTGTTGTACTTTACAAGGGATCGTGGCCTCTGGGGCGCGATAATTATGTAAATTACATGGGATCGTGGCTTCGGGGGTGCGAATGCGGTGTAAATGACGAGGGTTCGTGGCCTCGAGGGCGCGACTGTGGAGTAATTTTCGAGGGATCGTGGCCTCGGAGACGCAAACGTGGAGTAAATTAGAAGGGATCGTGGCCTCGGGGGCGCAAGTGCGGCGTAACTTACGAGGGATCGTGGCCTGGGGGGGTGAATATGAACCCGCCGCCGAATTTTCCAGAAAGGGGGGGGGGGGGGGGCAAAATTACAGATTTTCTGCTTTGGATAGGGGGAGCGCCTTTTCGGCAGCTTCCGCAAGGCGGATTCGTGGCCTCGGGGGCGCGCCCGCTGCGTAATTTACAAGGGATCGTGGCGTCAGGGGCGCGAATGTGTCGTAATTTACAAGGGATCGTTGCTTCGGGGGCGCGAATTTGTTGTAATTTAAAAGGGGTCGTGGCCTCAGGGGCGCGAAAATAATAAATTATATAGGATCGTGGCTTCGGGGGGGCGAACGCGGTGTAAATTACGAGGGATCGTGGCCTCGAGGACGCGACTGTTGAGTAATTTACAAGGGATCGTGGCCTCGGAGACGCAACTGTGGTGTAAATTACGAGGGATCGTGGCCTCGGAGACGCGAGCGTGGCGTAATTTGCAAGGGACCGTGGCCTCGGGGGCGCGAGTACAGCGTAATCTGCAGGGATTATGGTTTGGGGGGCACGAAACTATTGTATTTTAGGTGTCCCACGCCCCCGCAGAAATTCTGAGAACCCTCCCGGGGGACGCTAACCAGGGTAGTTTTCGGCTCCCCCCCTCGCGCGGACAGTAACAGTTTTCAGTAGGAAGCAGAAAGCAATACTGTAACAATGGAAACTGGAAACTGGAACTGATGCAGGGAGCAGCAACCTTAATCCTCACAGCCTGATGGCCCCGCAAGGGGGCCGGCGGATCTTTGTGTTTTTGGATGTTTTTGGTGCTTTTGCGTTTTCCGGCCTCGACAATCCCAGACTGCCCAAGAAGCCTCCAACACCGCCCCAAGACGGCCCAAGAGGCTCCCCAGACAAGTCCAAGAGGGTTTCCAAACTACCTAAGAGGCGCCCACGACGGCCCGAAAAGGCTTCAAGAAGTCCCCAAGAGGGGCCTAAGAGGGGGATCGCGAACCAAGAATTCGAGCGTTTCGCTTGAAGGGGCCCCCAGGATACCCCAAGAGGCCCCCAAGAAGCCCTGAGAGGCCCAAAAGATTCCCCAAGAAGGTCCCAGGAGGGGCCCAAAAGAGGGAACGCGAATTGAAAAATCAAGCTCTCCGCCCCAAGATGCCCCCAAGAGGCCCCCAGCCCCCAAGAGACTTTTTTTTACTCCCCAAGGCCCTCAGCGGATTCCGCCGGCCCGCGCCGCTCCCCAGCGGCCTGAACCCAGGCCTGCACGACCTGCTTCAGCATGTCCGAGAACGGGTCCCCGTAGTGCTCATCGCCCACGTTGCACTGGCAGGACTGGCTCTCGCGGCAGCTGCTTTCCCGTCTGTGGATACTTTCCTGCGAGGATGCGGTCTCGCTTCTTCCTTTTGGCGTCGTCCTTTGAAAACTTACCCTTCTGCTCCAACGGCCCTGGGCACGCTGCCCCCAGCCCCGCTCTCCTTGTTGCCGAGTGGGCCCCGCACACCACGCACACCACGTATGGCCCGTGTACTTCCACTCGGTGATCGCGCACAGCGGGTCGATCTTCGCCTTCGCGACGCCCACGTTCTTGCGCCCCTGCTGCCACAGCCGCCGCAGCCGTGAGAGCAACACATGCCTCGAGCGACACCGAAGCTCCCGTCTTTCGCGTGCCTGAGGATCTCCATGGGGGCGGCTCGCACTCCGACTCCCACAGGTTCTTCCTCATGCGCTTCGAGGTCGCTCTCTTCCCGCATTTGACGCACACGAGCCACTTGCCTTTGTTGATGACATCGTGGTTGGTCAACGCTAGCTTCTGCTTGACTATCCTTCTCTTCGGCTTTCCTGGCTCACGCTTGGG